TACTTCATATACCCAGTATAACAATGGGAAGTATATTTAACCTCTTGGACTTCAGTTCCTCAGTCTGTAAAATGGGTATAATAACAATAATATTACATGATTATCCTTAAAATTAATTAACTTACATATTTTGTGACCATCACTTCCTGCTCATAGTAAGCACTGCATGGTCATTATTAATAAATTAACAAACAAACAAACTTATATAGCACTTTTCACATGCCAGACATTGCTATGTTGTTGTTATGTGCCTTTGAGTTGGACCCGACTCATGGCGACCCCTCCTTCAGTGTCCAAGGCGGTATCACTACCGAAGTAGATTTCCCAACCTTCCTCCCAAGGAGTGGCATATAGATAGATAGATAGATAGATAGATAGATAGATAAAGCCCTCCCTATAACTCTATGGGAATCCCTAGGTGGTACAAATGGGTAATGTGCTTTTGCTGGCTGTCAAAAGGTTGGAGGTTCAAGTTCACCCAGAGGTACCTCAGAAGAAAGACCCAGTGATCTACTTTTAAAAAATCAGTCATTGAAAACCCATGGAGCCATTTCTACTGTGATACACATGGGAGTGCTATAAGTTGGAATTGACTCACTGGGTAACTGGCTTGTTGTTTTTGTTTGTTTGTTTTATAACTCAATGAGAGGAAGAATCTGACGTTGGTAGATTTTATTCACCAATATCTGAGAAAGTTTATACTTGTCTCCACTGAAGTCAGATTTGACCATTTGGCTTGCTTTCATCAGTCAAATGTGAATGGAAGGAACAGGAGAAGCCACTGGACAGAAGCTTTTAAATTTAATGTTGAAACCAGTTTGTGCTTCCCTGATTCTGAAATTGCAGACACATTTTTTTGAGGTGAGGAACCCATTAGCTTGGGTTCCTGTGTGACTATGATGAACCAAAGTCCCTTGCTGGCCCATGATGGACATGCAGTGTAAACAAAAATAAGACATTGTTTTAAGCCCCGAGATTTCCAGGGTTTTAGCACAACACGCTGACTGACTCAGAAGCATAGAGATGAAAAGAAATTTTCCAAAGGTCACATAGCTGGAAAGCATATGGTTCCAGAGGCTGTATGCTTAACTGCTTTCTCAGTAATTGATATTAGTATCAATATGAAGAATGGTTTCTTATTAAGACATTATTTCATTGTTTGAAGGTCTGCTTTAGGAGATGTTAGCCTTTTCCCAGCTTCTACTGCAATGGGCATATTGGGCTGCTACCCAGAAGGTCAGCAGGTTGAACCTATCAGCCATTCTGTGGGAGAAAGATGAGGCAGTCTGCTTCCATAAAGATTTAACAAAACTCACTGCCATTGGGTCAATTCTAACTCAAGCAACCCTCATTGGGTTTCCAAGGCTGTAAATCTTTACAGAAGTAGATTGCTTCATCTTCCTTCCCTGGATCAGCTGGTGGGTTTGAACCACCAACCTTCTGGTTAGCAGTCAAATACCTTAGGCACTGTGCCACCAGAACACCACAAAGCTCCATAAAGATTTACAGCCTTGGAAACCCTATTGGGGTCACTATGAGTCGTAATCGACTAAATGGCAGTAGGTTTTATATACCTTCACAGCAGCCCCAGGGGCATGGTAACCATGGCTACCAGAAGTATCTGGTTTAATAGTGTTTCATAGAATGAATTCAAATATCTATGTCCATTCAATTGAAGTTGATCCCATTGCTTTCACTCAGTCCTTAAGAGATGAATGTCTTCCTATCAAACTTCTTTTCCCGTTAGCCCATCATCTTATTTCCCTTCATCTCCTATCTCTTATCTGTGAGCAGAGTTTCAAATGTTTGAGGGTTACAAGGAATCAGCACCCCATCTGTCAGTTTGTTGTACTATGGTGGCTTGCATGTTATTATGATGTTGGAGGCTATGCCACTGATATTTCAAACACCAACAGGATCACCCATGGTGAACAGGTTGCGGCAGAGCTTTCAAATTAAGAGACACTAGGAAAAAAGGCCTGGTGATCTACTTCCAAAAATCAGTCCACGAAAACCTAATGGATCATAACAGATATTGTCCAATATAGTACTAGAACATGAACCCCCTCCATTGGAAGGCAATCAAAATAGACAGTGGCTACAAGATGGTACAAGACTGGACTCGAGCATACCAATGATTGTGAAAATGGAGCAGGAGCAGGTAATGTTTCATTCTGTTGTGCAGGGGGTTGTCAGGGGTCAGAGCCAACATGATGGCAGCTAACCAAAACAACCAATTAGAAACCTTATCACTACATTGACATTCATATCATTTCCAATATGTAGCAAGATTCCCCAGAACTGTGAGGGCCTGAAACTTGGGGATAGGATGAGGGAACCCACCTAGATTAAAAACACAAGGACACCAGAAAGAGAAGAGAGAAGCTTCAGCCACAAAGAAAACTAAAAAGTTACAAGATAAAAGCAAAAGGAGAAAGAGCTTAAGCAGTGACAAAAATCCAAATAGGTATAAAAAGATTAATCATATCTGTTGAACATAAATCTATAAAATATATCCACTTGTACTGCACATACTGGAATGCTTTAAATTAGAAGCTGGGACTCTACCTAGGAAAAGTATAAATACATATTACTTAACAGAGTTCTCAATGAGGAATTAACAGCTTTATTCATCATTTTTTTCAAGACATATAATTCAAATAGAATTCAGTGGAATTCATGAACAAATAAGAAGTAAGTATACTTCTTAACTCTTTTATTTCTTCTTAAACTCTTTGATCACCTATTTCATATATTTTATAATAAAACAGGTACTAATTGTATTTCTCCAATACCATTTATTATTCATCTCCGTATGTTTTGGTTCTCTAGTGCTGCTCTAACAGAAATACCAGGTGGGTGGTTTTAACAAATAGGAATTTATGCTCTACAGTTTAGGAGGCTAAAGGTCTGAGTTCAAAGTGCCAGCTCTAGGAACTGGATGAAGGCCCCTCAACCTTGGGTTTCAGCTCTGCCTCTTGCTCCTGGCCCACTGGAGCTGGAGGCATCTTTTAACTCAGGCAGTTGCTGGCTGCTGAGGCTGGCAATCCCAAGGTCTACAACTAAAATGGCACAGTCCCAAGGTATCAAGCAACACAGTAGGCCACTAGTTCAAGTCCAGAAACAGTCTCAAGATTGGCAGACAGCATGGCAGTCCACTGAGATGAAGACTTGGCCAAATGTAAGCTCCAGATGTGCCAAAAACCTCAAGACCTTTTTCAAACTGTCTTCTTATATGGACTGAAGAGGGCTCAGCCACACTGGATTGAGTTGTATGGTGGCACAGAAGGGTAGTGGTTAGAACTTTGGATGTGGGTTAAAATCTTACCTCAACCATATACTAGCTGTGTGGATACAGTCAAGAAAATAAACCCTTTCCAGTCTCAATTTCCTCATCTGTGAAATGGGGAGAGTAATATCAGTGTCAACATGTGTTTTTGTGAGGTCACATGGTGACAGTGAGAAGCAAATGACTAGTGTATATAAAGTACTTAGATGTGTGTAGTCCCTGGAGAACAGCACCATGTCTGGTTAAGGCAGAAGGTCAGCCAAAAAGAGAAAGACCTCAATGAGATGGGTTGATGAAGCGGCTGCAGCGATAAGCGCAAACATGCCACAGCGACAGCTGTGAGGACGGCACAGGAACAGGCAGTGTTTCGTTCTGTTTTACCGAGTGTCGCTTCACGTTAGACTGACTCACTGGCACCCAACAACAATATCATTAGGTCCATTCCATCTTCCCTTGTAGGCCAGGCCTCAGGCACAGCTAATACTCTTTTGGTATTTGTCTTTTAGCACCTTTTTTAGTGGCACATTAACAAGCCCACATAAATTTCTATTGAACAAAAAATGTCTTTATGAGGGATCATATTGCCTTGCTGTACTCTTATGTTATAACAAGCTCATCTTTATACTAATACTCCTCCCTTCCCCTTAAGCAAACGATGCCTGTCTTCCCCCTAAACTATTTACTTCATGAGGTCAGGGACTGTGTCTCTTCTGCTTTGCATGCCTAGCACTGAGCCCAGGACTGTAGGGGCTTCATAAGAATCTGTGGACTGAATTTTAAATAAACTTGTGTTTTACAGGTCACCTAGCACTTTCACATAAACATGTGTAGCATCTCTGCAGAGCATGTTGAAGAAACAGGCTCTGGAGCCAGAATGCCTGTGTTCAAACACCAGCTCCACCATTTACCAGCTGGGTGACCCTGGTTAATATACACACACTTTCAATACCTCAGTTTCACACCTTTAAAAAAAAAATAATAGTATTGGGTCATTATGAGTATTAAATTGTTAATTTATGTAAACTTCATAAAACAATGCCTGCACATCATAAGTGTTATTTAAATGTTAGCAATTATGAATGTTGTCTGTGGTTGTTTTTACCCTCCCATCATATGCCAAGAGTAAATTATTCTAACTATCTAAATCATTTCTCCTTTCATGTAGAAGATATAAATGTGGCATCTTTATTCAAAATTCCAAAATAGCAGAGGACAAATCATAATCTAAAGAGAATGACTTCCAAGATTATTTGCAAAAATAAATGTATTTGTAGAGATTGTTCTTGAGATACTCCTAAATGCCCCTAGATATTCTGTAGTTTAAGTCTCTTCCAAGTCACTCGTGTTAGATCCTTACTCAACAGCAACATTTGCTGTTACTCTTTCCACAAACAAGAACAGCCACATTGTCTTGAGCAGAAGTGTTCAAAGGAATGAAAACACACTCACACAAACACCAGGCAATGAATGGGATTAGGTCTCACACTTGTGCTGTCCTCTGCCTCCACTACAAACCTCACGCCCTGTTAAGGCGAAAAGCTTATCATTCCCAGTGTTCATCTCCCCACCTTGCTTCAGAGCATGAACCGGTCATCAGACTACAGGATATTTAAAATCCAAACACCATGTTTAACCACCAGTGCTTCTCTGCGTGTTGGAGAGATGAAGTAGAGGAAACGAAGGCAAAGCAGAAGCTGAATATTTAAAATACCTTCAACACTGTAATGTTCCAGGCAAAACTCTCAGTTGCCTTGTTGAGTTTTCTTCCTTTCAAGCCTTCTTTTGCCCCCAGATTATGAAGTTCTTCATGGAATTCCATCCCTTTCAAAAGAGAATGTATAAGAAATACTTGTATAAATTTCAGAAAATGAGCAATTTATCATGAAATATTATTAGTAAAAATATAATTTCACATTCCTGTCCTCTCACTGTTTCTAAATCCCTAAAATGAATTCTCTTTCCTATTGTGTTCATCCTCACCAAATGTCTATCCTTAGGGGGAAACCAGCTATAATCAATGCCTTAGGCTACATTACATTTTAAACATGGATAAAGACAAAGTTATAAAGCAAATTCTTTGGACAGGTTACATTTATTTAATGTGTCCTCTGTTTTTGTAGGAAATGGCATGACATGTGAACAGTACCTATATGTGATGAGTACATATATGTCATTTCTCCTTCTGAACCAACCATATGGCTTGGTAGTAGAGGCCCTGGATCCCACATAGACAAAAACTGGTAGGTAATCAGTTGATGTAGATTAAAAAAAAAAATATTTTCTTAAAAAAAAAAAAAAACACAATTCTTGGGAAAACCTTAATCGTTTCAGATTTGGGAATGGATGTAAAGTACTTCTAACTAAATCATTCATTGACACTTGAATACTATATCACCTTTATCTGTTTCTTCAGCCTTTGTTTTAGCACCTCAAGGATGGAAAGCATCCTCTTTTCTTGACAGCTCATTCCATATTTGGAAAGTTATGGCCAATATCAAGTCAAAATCTCCCTCTCCGGAAGTTCTACTCCCAAGTGCTGGCTAGACCCACTAACAAGTTTTAATCTCTTTTTCATAGTACCGCTCTGTGAAATATGTGAAGGTGTTAGACTAAACTTTGAATCTTCTTCTCTCTAGATTAAACATTCCCCATTCTGATATACTCCAGCTCACTAATGTCTCTTCTTAAGGATGGCACCCAGGAAGAGACACTGTGCTGTGAAGCTTCTAAAATTGAGTAGTATGGAGGACCTGCATCCAGGAGTGAACATCGTGCTCAAGGTAGAGTTGAAGCAGCCCACATGAGGTAGGGGCTTCCCACTACCCTCCTTTTCCTAATGTTATACTTTTATTCAAACTCACCGCTGTCAAGTCAATCCCAACTCATAGTGACCTTTCCTTGGGCTTCTAAGGCAGTATCACTATTGAAGTAGATTGCCCAATCTTCCTTCCAAGGAGTGGCTGGTAAGTTTGAACCACCAGCCTTCTGGTTAGCAGTCAAATGCCTTAGGCACTATGCCAACATAGTCTTAAAACCACAGTAATTTTCCTGGTGCTATATCACACTGTAATTCACACAGGAGGGCACCCTAATATATGAATTAGAGCATAACTTCACAGCCTGGGTTTCTATTCCAGCTTTTCTACTTATAAGCTGTATGAACCTGAGCTAGTTGCTGAAACTCCATGGGCTTTAGTTTTCTTATTAGTGACATGGTGATAACAAGAGTATTTACCTTAAAGACTATGGTGAAGATTGAGTCAATATATCTTTGAAGACCTCAAAGCAGTACCTGACACCTAGTAAGTATTATATAACTATTTGGTGTTATTATTTTTGTGCTACCAATCAACTGGAACATCTAAGCCTGCTAGTCAGTCAGTTCAAAGCACCACTTGAAATGACTGGCCTGGGTTCAAAAGTCAGTTTCACTACATGTTAATGTAGGATCTGAGGTATTTACTTGGCCACTCAGAATCTCAGATGTCTTATCTGTAAGTTAGAAATAATGATGACTATCTTGCAAAGTTGTTATGAAGATTAAGTAAGATAGTGTATATGCTTAGTATATCATATGCATCTATGTCAAGAAATGGGTTGTCATTTTCCTCATCATAACCATTATAGTGTGTGGATAGAGGAACACATGTGCAGTGTAGTAAATCACATACTGTGGTTTTTCTAGTCATAAACTCTATTGTGGAATTTGCCATGAACAAGTGAGTAGCTCCTGATTGTTAAAGTTATCCACCTGGGGTATTTCTGTTGAGTGTAGCACCAAGTAGTTTTCTGGAAAGTTCACTTTCTCTGAGGTATATAGAATTCTGATATTGGGACTGGTTAGTTGGCCACTCTGCCAGGCTCAAAATGAGCCCTCCTAGAGGCAGAAGGAATCTCTTTGACTGCTGGCTGAGAAAGGCGTGCTGCTGAGAGCAACGCACTCCTGAGAGATACGCACTGCTTAGAAAGAGACACCAAGAGACATGTGCTGCTGAGAAAGAGAGACTGAGAGAGATTATTGGCTGAGAGACGGCAGGCTGAGAGAGACTGAGCCCTGTTCCTCAACTTGAATTGTAGCCTGGTGCTTCCCTAATAAACCCCAAAATCTGTGAGTTCTGTGTGGCCACTGCAGTGAATTATTGAACCCAGCAGAGAGGTGATGGTTGCTGCAGGAGGAACGGTTGGTGTCAAGATTGATGAAGGGGCTGGAGGGAGGCATCATGTCTGGCCTCACAGGAATAGGTCTTGGGCAACCGATTGTGATTCTGTTTTCCCCTTGTGGGGTTAGAGGAGGTCAGAAGATGCAGCCTTCCTGCCCTTTTGGCAACATGAACCCAAGAGATATAAAAGCTCAGAGGTGTGAATGAAGGTGAACGTAAGCAGAGGTGTGCCCTCACAGGTATGTGACCCATCACATCCTTAAAGAAAGAACAAATCTAAGATGAGGATTACTAAATGTAGAAAAGCCTAGAAGGTTAATAGAATTATGGTCCAAATTGTAAAATGGAAGTGGTTCTTAAGAGCCAATGTGTAATCTTAGTTTCCACATCAGTAGTAAAAGGTTTTAATAGATTCTCAAAACTAAAGAAGTAGAGTCAGAAATCCTCACTACTCAAACATCTTCAGGTTCCACACCACCGTCCCACATCCTATCACCTAGATTTCAACAAAGACTTTAGTGTAACTCAAAATATAGTTAAACTATGGCATAAAAAGGAGCTCTGGTAGCACAGTGCCTAAGGCACTTGACTGCTAACCAGAAGGCTGGTGGTTCAAACCCACCAGCCACTCCTCAGAAGGAGGTTTGGGCAACCTACTTCTATAGTGATACCACCCAAGGAGGGGTCTCTATGAGTTAGGTCCTACTCAACGGCACATTACAACAACAATGGCATAAAATATTTGAAACTTAAGAGAAAGAACATAATCTTAAAAAAAAAAAAAAAAAGGCCAAAAATTATCATCATAGTTTCTAAATAAAATAGAGAGAAAAAAAAAAAAAAAACAGTTACCTGCTTTCTGACACTGTACAATCTTTTCATGGATTGTGTCTGCCATTTCTATGAGAAGCCGGTTTTCTTGAATCATCTGTCACAAAAGAAATATCAAAAGGTGGTTGTCAGAAATCCTTGAAATGGCTCATTGGGAAGATGAGACATACAGAGAGACCCACGTGATCCTGCCAGTAATAGGGAGCCATGACTTCAACCATAAGAAATGGGAGAGTGAAGGATAATCTGTGCTCCAGCTCCCAACCATTCCAACTCTGCAGCTTGGGTTGCCTTCCTTCCAATGGCTATAGGGATGTGACATACCTGACACAGAGTGGGTGCCAAATAAATACCTGCTAAACACTCTGACTCCCCAAACCCCTCACTCCAAAGATTACTGCAACATAAAGGCAAATGGTATTGGAACAACAGATATAAGAAACAGAATAGGGAACAATTTACTGATGAGCTAAAAGACTATTGAACACATCAGTGAAATTAATAACTTGGATTTTGGTGGCCCAAGGAAGGCAGAGATCTCCTTCTTCCTTAAGCGGGGCGACACTAGCAAGAATGAGGAGAAAGTGAGAGCCAGAACCAAGTGCAGGGGAAAGCTTAGAAACAACGATGAAATGGTGTACCTGTCCACCACATTTGGATAGCAAGCAAATACGTCCAGGAAGTGATTAACATACTGAGTGAAGGGAGGGAAATAAGACCACTGTCCTGCTAATGGAGAATAATCTGTATGTGAAGAAGTGGAGAAGATAATCATCTTCCTCAGGTAAAGAAGCTGTAGTCAAAAAGATCTCAAATAGGGGTTCCTCTGGGAATACAAAAAGTGAATAGAAAAAGTCAACCAATAGGCAAATTAATAAATCCTAAACTTTCAGCTACTCTTCTACTTTCAATAAATGTCTAATATCATCTGGCTATTCCGCATTCTTCTGTCTGTCTCAATGTTCTAGAGGGAGTTCAAGGTAGAATTCAACGTGGACATAAATGCTCTTGAGTTTTATTGTTCTACTGTCACATAAATGATGTTATTGAACAAATTGTGTTAACACCCACTTCCAGACATAAAGTGATTTATGACCACAAACATTCCAATAGAAAAGAACACTGACTCATAATTATTAGTGCTTAACAACTCCAGGGGAGTGCAGGTTCACATTTTGGAAAAAAGGCTGGTGTTAAGTGAATTGTGTTCCCAAAAAATATGTGTCAATTTGGCTAGCCCATGATTCTCAATATTATGTAATTATCCTCCATGTTGTGATCTGACATAATTACCCTATGTGTTGTAAATCCTAACTTCTAATGCTAATGAGGCAGGATTAGAAGCAGTTATGTAAATGAAACAGGATGCAATCTATAGGACTAAGTTTTATCTTGAGTTACCATCTTTTCAGATATAAAAGAGATTAAACAAGTAAGCAGAGATCAGAAGGACTTACTACCACTAAGAAAGCCGAGTCAGGAATGGAGCACATTCTTTGGACCCAGGGTTCCTGTGAGAACCTCCCAGATCAGGGGAAGACTGATGCCGAGACACGTGGAGACATCCATAGACGTTGAAAGAAGACAAGCATCTTTCCCCAGAGGTGAGAGGGAAGAAAGCCTTCCCCTAGAACTGGCACCCTGAATTTGGACTTTCAGCCTCCTAAACTGCCAGAGAATAAATTTCTGTTCATTGGAGCCATCCACTTGTGGTATTTCTGTTATAGCAGCCCTAGGTAACTAAGACAGCTTGGCAATCTACTTCTGGGAAAAAAAAAAAAAAAAAAATCAACCACTGAAAAATCTTATGGAGCACGTTCTTCTCTGACACGTGGGGTCAGTATGAGTCAGAGTCAGCTCGGAGGCAATTGGTTATGATAACAGCTTCCACTGTAGTTAGAATAATGTTACTCTAACTATTTTCCACAGTCAATTTGCAGTTATTAGTAGGTGTAGAGAAGACAAATAAGACATAGGATTGAAATGTACTAATAATTCCAAATCACATTTAAATCTACAATTTCAAACTTTGCCCCCAGCTAAGTAAGCGATTTGGGGAGCGAAAGAAAAAGTTGTTGACTAGAATTACACTTACTACCTTGGTCTCCAGAGATCCCGATGCAAATGAAATATAAAGTACAAAAGCTGAGGAGAGAAGGTGAGAAGTACGTCCTCACATAATCCACCAGCTGGATAAGCAGCACAGCCAGCCAACCGAGACTGGGTTGACTCAATCAATGGAATCTGGCAGTGACCTGATTTACATATCATGTCTCAGCCTAAGCTCCCAGTTGCCTTTGCCTGTTGTAATAATACAAAGAGCTTTTCTTTGGTTGTGTCACATGAATATCTTCTAATGGATCTTATTTCCTTGCCATGGCTTTGTATTTGAAAGAATAGATGACTTAGCCGGATAAAAGCGAGCATTACTTTATGCATTAGCTGTTTCTTAAACAGTAGTGTGTAAAGTTGTCAGTTAAGATCAAAAACATTTATTTAAAAAGGAAGCTTTACTTGAGGGAACAGTAACACTTTTACTTAGAGATGGATTAAATTGTCTAACCTCTGGGGGAAGAAGGGAGGGAATGTCTTTGCAGCCCTTCTCAATAGAGTTGCTGTTGTTGTTAGGTGCTATCAAGTTGGTTCTGATTCATAGAGACCCCACGTACAACAGAACAAGACACTACTCAGTCCTGTGTCATGTTCACAATTGTTGCTATGCTTTCTCAATAGAGAGATGAAATAATTGCCTAGGATCGTTGCAGAGTCAACGAAACATTTTAATGATACTGAAAAAGATAGAGTTTTCATCATATCAGGGCTCAGAAATCTACCATAGATTTCAATTTTCTTCTCAATTATATCTAAATTTGTAGAACTTATGTTTGCAAAGCATCCTAAGGAACATCGTGGACGACCTCATTTTATATGTAAGAAAATGGAGCCAAAAGTTGACTTGCCTAAGCCACACAGCTAGTTTATGAAATAATTTAGACTAGAACCCAGGTATCCTTCAGGTACAGACCTAAGTTTACAAATCATTCTGATACTAGCATGATATTAAAATGTAGACTTTCTGTGGCAAGTGCAAGTGGTGATAAACTAGCATTCATCAAGTGAAGTATTACAAAAACAAGTGTTTCCCAAGATTGACTTTTCCTCCAAGTATAATTCACAACATATATCAGCCATTTTAAATATTCTTCCTTTGGGACTTAGAAAGGAAATATACTTACATCCACTGCTCTTTCAGGAAGAAGTTGGGAATTGTGGACAGGCAATCATTTGGGAATAGGTATGTCAATTAAAAAGTCAATCTACTTTAACCCTATTTTTGTTCTTTCTCCTTAAGAGATAATTCATTTATCTCTTATCTTACTTTTAATTAAAACACTGGGCTTTAGTTCTTTGGTTTTGTAAGGGCCCAACTGTTTGGATCATCTAAAATAATACTTGAATTTTATTAAACTTGGCCAATTTTTAATCTGATTCCTGTTACATATATATTTGTTAACTTGAATGAACAGAATTTCCTTTAGTTTTTAAGTTCCTTGAAATTTTTACATCAAACAGGTAGAAGCACTGTTAACAGATTGACATCCTTTGTTTTTAAGCAAAGTCAACACTACAAGACTGCTAATTCTCAGTGAAACAGGAACAAAGATAGATCAGAACATTTGCAAGCTTTCTGGAACTCCACTGCCTTTTAATGTGTATAACGAAGTGTTTTCCGTCCTGGGACTAGCTCTGAGTCACATTTCCACGCCTGATTTATGGCAGCATGGGACAAGAAAGCTGACACAGAGCAGGTCAAAGGATCTTTGTTTCCACATTCACGATAGTGACAGGATCACTATCAGTGATCTGCCTTCTTCATACAGGCACCATTTTAAATTTCCTTTTTCCCAGATGTCATGTTTCCCAAAAAGTTGTCAGCTACATCTTAAATAGTCATCAGAAATATTTTTCTTTATAATTTTTAAATATTATAAAATATAGATATTAAAAAATATAATATTTGTCTTTCACACCATAAGCTGATTAGTAAAATTATCAATGGATTAATCTTCATGAACTTTCTCCAGAATTTTAAGGCCAACTTCAATAACCATACTACCTGTAACTAAATGTGTTGTAAGAGCATTAGTACTTAGGAATGCAAAGTAAACTTTAGGATGCATGCACAATATTCCACAAATAAACCAAGCTGAAGTACTTGCTTATTGATGCATTTCTGAAATTCTGTGCCCTTGGGACTCTGGTACCAATCAGAAATTTTGTCAGCCCTCAAATGCTGACTTTTTCCCCAATAAACCCATTATATCAAGATGAAAGTACCATTAACAAGTTGGCATCCTTTGTTAAAAGATATTGTCATATTCACAAGTGAAGGAAATTTCAATGAATTAAGTATACAACATGCTATTTTAAAATAATCAGCTCTGGTTTGGCACATGCCACCCTGCTGTTGATTTTCTGAGTCCCATTACTACACAAGCCAACATACTTTTTGAAATTTAAACCAGTATAACAGTGCATACAAACCTTACAAAGACAGTGAGTGATGGGAGGAGAGTATCTTTGGCTTACCTAATTTTTATTTAAGTTGATCTTGATAAGCAAAGCTTCACTGGGGAACTCTTTTCCATCTTGAGGCTGATCTTCATAACGTTGACATAGGTGAATATATTTAATTCAACCCTAATGCCCTCATGGTGGCACTTGCCACTGTATTGGCTCCATTGTGAGCATGATTAGACAGCCATTAGCTTTATTTGTCAGATTCCTGGTCATGGTAGCATAATCAACTGCTTTCCAAATCACACCCCCAACTGACTTAGTAAAAGATTAAATAACCCTTAACTCATGTTCTCTAGATTGTTTTGATTTCTTTTTTACCTTCAGAAAATAAGTTGTCCTTACCAAAGTAAAGTTTTAACTTTTATGTTAATGTTAATGATTCAGCACAGAAGTCACCTTTGGAGAATGTTTTGGGTTTATTTTTTTATAATCACAAGCCTTGTAACTATTCCACTTCTGAATGATACATTCAAAACACCAACTGCCCAAAAGTTTTCATATGAATGTAAAACACTT